TCATATGATTCAAATTCAATATCTCTTATTTAAAAAAAAATAATTATTAAATTATTTATATCGTTGATATAATTTACTATATTTAAACTATTAATCTAAATCCCAAAATGATATGTATAGCTCAATAATGTACTTACCTATTGATTAAGTTGTCATTGTCATTGTTGTGTAGGTAAATTTTGTATCTTTCCTTTGCACTGTCATAGTGGAAGTGGATAGGATGGTAAGGAAAGGCAACATGGGTATTGGCATCTTTGTCTACTCACCCTTTGAAAATTGAAACATCTCCCAACAACTTAACAGCTACCATCTGATCACTAATCTAATCACTTATCATTTTAAATTCTAAAATTCAGCAACTACTATTACATAGTCATTTTTTGTATCAAAGTTAAATAATAATATGTGGACAAAATTTTTTTACAGTTTTTTAATAAATTTTTTATATATTATTGAATGAATAAATATAAGTCTTAAAAAAATTTTAAAAAATACTAATCTTTAAAGGACTTGTAAAATTATACAAAAAATTTGTTTCTCAATCATTTTTCATCTAAATTATATATATTTCTCCAATCATAGTCTGCCAACTCATTAATTAAAAAAAAATCATAATCCTAATAATTCCAACCTCAATCTCAAGTTTTTTGAGATTTCTATAACAAGTAACAAACTGAATCCTACTGATTTGATTTGAATCTTATTTGATAAGATAAAGGAATATGGAAATATCCATTGAACCTTCAAAATCAGTACTCCTGCAAGTTGACCTGAAACATTAAGTTGCAAGCAATGGTAATATGTCCCTCTTTTTCCTTTTTGGATAAGTTATATAACATGTCTGCTTTATCTTTCATGTAACAACAAATTCCCAAAGCATTAAGTTCAAAAAATAGACATTACCCTTTTCTTATATTCTTTTCCACAATTATCAAACTAAGTAGTCATCAATCATCACATCTAAATTTCATTGCATTTGAATTTCATAACTCGATAATTATATAATTTTTTTTATAAAATATGCTTTTTTTTTACAAAAAATAATAATTAAATTAAGTATTAATATATATTATTTTGTAAGATGGTCAAATTTTAAAACTAAATGTATTTTACTTACTGTTTAATAGATAACATAACCACCATTAAACTGCATATGGGATTACAAAATATTCTTTTAACTTTAAATTTAAAGTTTGAATACGCCATTTACGAATTATAATCCATTAAAAAAAAAAAATAGTCATCACTCTTCATATGCATCCTACCACTAGCCATTATATATACATTGAAATTGATAATATGCCCCGACCAGTACAAGACTTTCAATCTTTCAATCTCATCACAAATGATTACAGATTAGGTGTTTCGGATTTTATTCTAACAATGAGCAGTGCTTTGCACCAAAAAAAAAAACAATGAGCAGTGCTAGGGGCACTCGCCTCCTGCACTCTCCGGCCAACACTCCCCCTTTCATTGGGCCACGTAAGGTTGCTTAAGGCTGAAGTGCAACCTCTCGCCGAACTAAAATGACGTGGGCCAACGAAAAGAGGAGTGTCGGCCAGAGAGTGCAGGAGGCGAGTGCCCCTAGCACTGCTCTTCTAATAATTTAATTTGGGTTAAGGCCATCTATCGTCCCTCTACTATCCAAAATAGTGCATTCTAAACCTTCTACTATGAATTGGCTTCATGTCGTCCCTCTACAATGTAAAAGCATGCACTTGTCGTCCCTCTACAATGTAAAAGCATGCACTTGTCGTCCCTCTACAATGTAAAAACATGCACTTGTCGTCCCTCTGTCCAGTTAAGCTAACAGCTGTGTTTGTTGACTGTTAAGTGCCAACGGTCACACCCGGTTAGCCCCTTTTTTTTTTTTTTTGCCACCTTGCTTTGTGGATCCCACCCTAGTGCGTCCAATTAGTCAATTACCCTTAATATTGATTTCTATAAAAAACAAGAATGAGTAAATTTAGTACTTATATAATGTAGAAAATCAATGAAAAGCCTATAAGGTGGTGAACTAAAAGGTTCTACTTCAACTTTCTAATTAATAGGAAGCTGATTTTAAGGTATTTATTAGTTAAATATTTTATATATATTAGCCATGATATAATGATCAACTAAAGAGGAATTACCAGATAGGAATTACCAGATATGAATTACCAGATAGAGAATCTTTAATATGTGAGACTAAAAGGAAAAAAAACAAAAATGATCTTCAATAAAATATTGAATGGATGACAAAATAAATAAATAATAAATATTGCACCTTTGGGCAGATTCTATCATTCCTCACATAAAAATGTTTATTTGTTTATTTATTTATTTGATGAAGCTCACATAAAAATGTTGGTTTTTCCTTCTTTTTTTTTTTTTTTTTTTTTT